CAATGAGACGCATCATAATAGGGATTGCCCTGCCCCTGTGCACAAAGCCAGATCCATAAAGACAGGTTTTGACAAGTTTGAAGTAGAGAAACTCAAGTGGCCTACACAATGCCCGGGCCTCAACACTACTGAACACTTTTTGGATAAATTGGACCGCTGGTTGCTTAGGAATTCCATCAGTAATTTGTCAGCCTTTGTGTAAAAGCATACTTTTACTGGTCATAACGTAACCATTTAAACTGTTCTGTCTTTATTACATTGCCAGTCGCACATGCAGTCCGCTTCTCCAGATATACGGAAGCAAAAGGCAGTACCCAAAATGGACGTCAGATGGATGTCAGAGAGCGGGATAGTGGATGTCTTTCTTTTACTGGGACCTATGCCTCAAAATGTTTTCAACCAGTATGCACAGCTGACAGGTGATTATTCATGGATTACATTTTTATTCAATCACCCACTCTGTCCCGTTTGGTTTCAATAGAGCTCTGTAATAACAGGTACCCAGATGCTTCCTCCCCTCTTCTCACTGGGTTATCATCAGTGTCGCTGGAATTATGAAGATGAGGCAGATGTGGAAGCTGTGGACTCAGGGTTTGATGAACACAGTATTCCCTATGATGTCATCTGGTTGGATATCGAGCACACCGATGGAAAGAGGTATTTTACATGGGACCCTGACAGATTTCCTGACCCTGTAAAGATGCAAGAGAAACTGCGGGAGAAAAGGCGCAAGGTAAAGATATATCTGTACATTCAGTATATGGCTAGGGAATGAAGACGGGATTTTGAGGATGCAACTCTTATAGGTCTTCCTGTCAGATATATCCTATGTAGCATCAGAGAAGCAGTGTACCTGAAAGCATTATACAATGAAATAGATTTATTTATAGCAGTAGAAGCTGGTGATTGAACTAGTTACCTTGTTGTTTCTATAGCTACTCTCTGCTGACTTTACATTTCTATAATGTCCTTTATTTTCAATAAAGTGAAATTAAAGTGACATTAAACCCTCAGATTTTTTAACATAAACCAATACTGTAATGTGTGCCTTACTGTAATCCATGGTAGTTTCCCTTCTCTTTTTGCTCTTCCTTTTAAATCCTCATCTCTTCTCATGCTGGGGAAGAACTTCCCTTTGCAGCTGAGTGCCTCTTCCTGTAGTGCTGGCTCAGGTTGTGAACCTGCACACAGACACCATGTATCCATTTCAGAGACAAGGCAGTCTGCTGCAAAGGGAAGTTCTGCCCAGCATGAGAAGAGATACGGATTTAAAAGGAAGAGCAGCAAAGAGAAGGGAAACAACCATCTCAGTGTTTAATGTCACTTTACGGAAATAATTTCCAAATGACTGAGTTGTCTATTTTCAGTGCATATTACAGAGGATCTGTAATGGCTAGGCTTATACAGATAGGATTTCATCCCCTAATGTATGTGTTCCTTTACATGTTCATACCATACAGCTTCATGTACTTGTATTAGTGCTATCTGCATTACCCAACCTTGTTGTATTTATGACGTTGTATAGCCCCTTGGGAGATGATTAAGTACTGTATGCTTTTTTTTATATTATTATTATTATTATTATTATTATTATAATACAGGATTTATATAGCGCCAACAGTTTGCACAGGTCTTTACAATATAAGGAAGACATGACAGTTACAATACAAATCAAGACAAGATGGTAAGGAGGGCCCTGCCCATGAGAGCTTACAATCTAAGAGGGAGGGGCAAGTGATACAAGAGGTGGTAGCTGTGTGGGAATGAATTGTTTGAGAAAATGATAGTTCAGTGGTTATATTGATGTGGGATAGGCTTCCCTGAAAAAATGAGTCTTCTGACTGCGTTTAGGAGATCCCTGAGTAGGAGATAGGGGGACAGGTTGGGGTAAGGAATTCCAAAGGATTGGATAGACTGTAGAAAAGTCCTGGAGGTGAGCGGGGAGGCATGAACGAGGGAGCTAAAGAGCAGGAAATCTTGGGAGGAGCGGAGAGGATGCTTAGGGTGATACTTTGAGACAAGGTCAGTGATATAGCCGGGGGCAGAGTTGTGGATGGCTTTGTTAGTCGTTGTTAATATTTAGAATTTTATCCTTTGGGCGATTGGAAGCCAGTGGAGGGATCGGCAGAGGGGGGTTGCAGACACTGAGCGGTTGGTCAGGTGGATGAGTCTAGCAGCAGCATTCATGATAGACTGAAGTGGGGGGAACTGTGTGGAGGTAGGCCAATGAGGAGGGAGTTGCAGTTGTCACTTTTCATTTTATTTGCACTAACAGTTTGTTTTTCCAGGACAAGCTTTTGGAGGTCTACCCCCTTCTTGGTCCAAGCAGTACTGATACCTAAGGGTCTTTTTGGACTATGAAGAAGAAGGGGGTAGACCTTCAAAAACTTGTCCTAAAAAATAAACTCTTAATGCAAATATATCACATACAGTACTCAACTGTGTTATTACAAGTGCACTGGTACAGCTATACTCACCTTACATGTTAGGGATAACAGACTGAAATCTAAAGGCAGCCGGCTTTTAGCATTGGAATGAAATGACCAAATCATATTATGTATGTTATCCTATTAACAAACCTTTACATTCAAGAAAAAACCCATCATGGTTTACCCATACTGTACTTTAAGAAACATTATAAGAAACATTATATCTAATCTCAGTCCCTGACAGAATGTCTCTCTTATTCTCAGCTGGTTGTGATCTCTGACCCCCACATTAAAGTTGATCCAAACTACACCCTGTATGCAGAGGCCAAAGAAAAAGGATACTTTGTGAAAGACCGAGAAATTGGGAATTTTGAGGGCACCTGCTGGCCAGGTTAGAAATGTGCACTTTGTGAAAAAATATGTATGCAAAAATGTAGACTTACAGGGTTATTCACAAAAGGGTGAAGAGTTTGGAGAAGGCAGGAGAGGTGAACAATCTCTACACGCCCTGATGTGTAGGGCTGCAACCAACTAATCGATAATGAGAATAGTTGTCAACTATTCCCATTATCGATTAGTTGGTTGGATCCCCTAGCTCTTTCCTCCATGTGTCTTCCTGATGTGAGATGAGCTTGACCCAAGTTTAATACCAACTGGTCGGAGAGCAGAGTGTAAGTCCGAGTGGCCGTTAAACAGGTAGGTTGTGGAGTAGCTGTAAAACAATACTGAAAATGACTTTAGGAGTTACATGTACAAGGTAAAAGCTTATATAAGAGTTTGGTGATTGGGTTCACATTTTTGTCAGCTTTGCAGAAAAAAACTTGACCTATGACGTTGTTTAAGAATGTCAGGAAATTCCATTTCTAAACACAACTGTTTATATGTCACAAACACCATGTAGTTTCAGGAATTTCCCACTAACGTGTTTTGTCTGTTCTAAGGTTTGTCCAGCTACATAGACTTCACAAATCCTGCAGCACGTGAGTGGTACTCGTCTCAGTTTTCACTTGATAAATACAAAGTAAGTGAATGTAGCCTCATATATTAGGAACAATATTTCCGTTTATACAGTCTCCGTGACCAAGCTGCAATCAATGGCTACAGAGTAAAGTTACAGGAGGACTTCTCCTAATTCTACTAAGCAATCATTTTTACATCCAACAACTCTACATAGTGCACGTATGATGAACTCGGCCTTAACCCCTTCATGACAGAGCTTGTTGTTAGTTTTTGTTTGTTAATGACTGAAGCACTATCTACATTATTGCTGTGTGATTCTTCCACGGCAGAAATATACTTCATTACTAAATGCACCCACACATATTATAAATTGTTTTTTAGAGGACAGATAGGGCTATGTATTTATATCACATATGCCTCATGCTTCACTTAGGATGAATAACATATAAAATACTAAGGAACAAACGTAAAGAAAACACTTTTCCCCAGTTTTTTTTATTATTAGTATTTGTTTTAGAAAAATAGCACAGCTAAAAAAAATGCATTAAAATAAATCCAATTATTTGTCCTTTATTTGGAAACACCTTACATCCCTAGGATTACAGACCATTTTCTGTACTTCTCAGCCTAAAACTAAAAGCTTTCAAACATTTTAATTTTTCTAAAAGCTAATAGTGGTCACCTGGCATACAATGTCACTGTCACTAAGTGTCACACTTATTGAGAGCAACATATTTTGAACATTGCTGTCATGAGGGGGCTAAATAAGAAAAATTAACCCCTCAGAGAGAAAAATAAAATCTGCAGCTTAGCTGCAGATTTTCTTTGTAAGGGGTTAATTTTTATAATTTTAATTATATCAAGCAGTCAGTGTGAAATGTATCTCACTATGACTGCTTGCTAATTTAATTAATTAATTTTCGGTTATTATTAGATTGCTCCAAACTTAGGAACAGCCAATAATAACCTTAGTGACACTGACCCTGGCAGCCTGCAACATTGTTTCAGAGTAGAAATATGTAGCTTTCTATTCGGAAACCTTTAGAAAAAAGCCGGTACACATCGGGATCCCAATCTGTACCAGCTGTCAAACAGTGACAGCAAGTGCAGTAAATACCGCACTGCTATCACTGTCAGACACCCGATCCCTCAAAGGGATCGGGTGTCTGGAAAAAGATTAACTCTTTCATTAATGGATTGCTCAATACTGAGGCATCCATTAATGAACAGTAAACGCTGACACTCTCAGCATTACATAGCCCCAAATAGCTGATCACGTACGGTGTATGTGATCAGTCATTTGGGCACTTAGTGGCGGGGATGTACGTCTCCTGTCACGAAGGGGTTAAAAAAACATCCACAGTGCCAGCTTATCTTTGCTTAAAGGATAGGGGTAGTTTAAAACTAAGCGAACTCATTCTTTTTGCCCTGACCTAAACAATCCAATTCTCCCCCTCTGCAGATCTGTACTTACCGAGATTCGATGGGCACAGTTCTACTATTGTTTACATCCAGAGCTGCAATGCTCCCTCTGCTGGCCACACTTGCACCTTACAGCCCCATAGACCTCCATGAGCCCGTCTTCCACCCAGGAGATGGACGCAGCAAGGAGAAGGAGACTTGCATTGCTACAAATAAACATACAGTGGAGCAGCAGCCCTCAGATCTTGGTTAATACAGATCAGTGGCGGATGTAAGGAACAAAGGTCCCTGGTGCAAGATTTTTTTTGCCCCTCCCCCCATCCCCCACATCTCAAAACAGGGGTGTGTAGACTTTTTATATCCACTGTATTATAACCTATGATAACATTCCTTTTACTGGTCTTTTCTTCAGACCCAGAACACTTGTCCCATCAACTCCATTTTTTTCCTAGCTAGTGAAATAGCTGTCATTCTGACTGATAAAATACTTTGTTTCGTTGTTATCTTTAGGCCATGGCCTTATTTATGCTTTGTTTTAAACTTGAAGTAAAGTTTTTTTAAAAAGTACTATAGCCCCTTGCAGCCACCCCAATATTTGCTTTTATTAACCTACGTTGAGCAATGACTTTTTTCTTTTCTCCAAATCTAAGAAATGAATGCTGTTATATCTATGAAGCACTATGTCTTACAGAGCTCTACTGATGTCTTGTATGTGTGGAATGACATGAATGAGCCCTCTGTGTTTGATGCTCCAGAGATGACCATGCCAAAAGATGCTGTACACCACCAGGGATGGGAACACAGGGATCTTCATAATCTCTACGGCTTTTACCAGGTAAGCAAGGCAGCATCAGCTAGGGGACTGATATACATTAGGCTAGCAAAGCATTAAACTATCTTAAAGACACATGGGTTATATTATGAGATTCAGAACAAAGAAAAGTGGTGCTCCTGCTGCTTACCAATCAGATTACATACCATTCCTTTTCCTGCAGGTTTCAGGACGAAAGCTAAGAACTAATTGGTTCATTATCACCAATAGTCCTGAGGACTTTTTGTCCGTTGTGTTTTCATTGCAATGCATCTCTCAATAGCTTCCTGTAATTCATAAAGAGTGGTGCAGACACTCTTAGAACAGTGTCTGTGCCACCCTACAACAAATGTCGGTGAATACAAAAAATCATGTGTATGTCAGAAACATGTACATGAATTTGTTGCAAAGCCTGCCTTTTGCATTGGTCTGAAGGCTGAGGTGCAGCTGAGCTGAGGGGGGGGGGGGGGGGTTGAGGGCAAGCTCTTCACTCCCGGCTAACTTACTCCAACACAACTTATTGGCCTGTTTCCTTATCTCTGAAACAGCAGTATTTATGAATTTGTTGCAGCCATTGTGACAGTAAAAGTGTCACTATTAGGAACTACCTGAATTTGTTGCTTATGTCTGTAATGGCATTAGAGCAGTCACACTGCTTTTCTGAATTTGGAGGAGGACATTCTTAGACACTATTATTGCCAGAAAGATGTCACAAATGCTATACTAAATCTCCCCCAATAAGCGTTGGTTCAGTTGGTCAGGATAAATTGCTCCATTATATTCATTTATCTACAGTAAACATGACCTAAAGTTGTAATTAACCAACATATATTACCTACTTTCTGTATAAAAAGTTACATTTCCTAGATCCAAGCAAGTAACATCATTAATTGGACTATTAACTGACCAGAAAACACTAGAGTTGTGCTAAAGTCCAAAAGTATTCCTTTACCTAGTACTGAATAGTCTGCAGCAGTACAATAAAGATACCTAGCTTTGCCTGCACACACATTAGTTGTCTTTTTTTAGCCCCTCTTCTAGCTTTTCCTGTTAAAGTCATCAGATGGCCCACCTTCTCCCGCACCTTCCTGTGGGCCAATGAGACCACCTGTCATATTGTTGGGCTGGTAGAGCAGCTTAGGAGGGGGTGGCGAATCTGATTCCATTACTGCAATGAGGAGGATTATGGGTTAGAGCTAAGAAGCATGCAGACAGTATTGCTTGCTACCTCTGCTACATATAATGCAGCATCACTGGCTCAAGGCCATTCAGAACAACCAGCAGCCTAGGAATTTACCAAACTCTGCAGTTTACCAAGTCAATGGCACCGCAGCCATTCCACCAAGATTTTTGCAGATCGCATTGGACCGGAACTCAGGCACCTATGTGCCCCGCATTCGGGTGCGGACTATCACAATGCGGGTGGGGGGCGTGGCTCCGGTGCCAAGATTAGCTGGCGTTAGGCTCTCATTTGTTTCTCTCCTGATTAAGGTCCATTGAAAACCACCTGTATATCTGTGTCTACCCTGACTTTAATGCAAAACAAACAGCTTTGTCACCCTGTTAAAGCACATTA